ACCGATAGCATTATGGTGTGTGTTATATTTCAGAGTACGGTTGGAGCAGATTCGTGGTCCGTGTATCGCAGATATCGGAAATTTCGAGAACTGCATAAATCAATGAGGAAATACTATCATGAGGTACGTAGTATCAGACAATTTTAAGCCTCACTCTATTGTTCATTTGCCCCGTTGCTTGGTAACATGACGTCACCCAAAGCGTCATGCTCACGAAAAGTGATTTCCTATCGCAAAGCCGAATACTGTTGTTATTAGAACAAAAGTTTGAGTTTGTTCTCCAATTAAAACATAATGGAAAATAGTTGTAACACGTCTGTGGAACATGTATGGGAAGGAGAGGTTCTGGGTGAGAGTAAACCCGATAAAGACTGATTTCGACGACAGTAAAGCATGTGTTAATAACTTGAGCAGAGGTCATCATCATTAGGCGGGTGTTACGCGTTTTTTCATAGCAGCTAAGCAGAAACTATGCAAAAGCACCTGCGTAGCACCTTTGTTTTATTTTGTTACGTTTATCCTATGAATCATGTTGGAAACACTCTTTCCCGTTGTCTTTCAGGTTGGTGGTTTAGATTTTCCAAACCGCCGGTTTTTCGGTAACAGAGCAGAGGAGTTTGTAAGGGCCCGGAGAGCGCAGCTAGAGGTCTGATAAAACTTTTATTTGCTGCCCATATTGTCTGTGCGCTGATTGACGTAATTATTTTCCCTTCTTCCGATCTCCTAGTTCGCTTATTTGAGAAATTTAGTGCATATGGCACGATGATGTTGTCGTCTAATTCAGTAAATTCCGTTTATGTAAAAGCATTTTGAGGTATTCAGAGCGCACAAATGCCTGATCACTGCACGTGTAGAGAGTATTTTTGAGGAAGCTTGCCATTCTACCAAACTGGCAAAATTCTAATGAAGTTGAAGGAGAGTTTCCTCGCTAAATTTTAAGTTAAAGTAAACGTTCCATTTGAATTTCAACTGGCTACATTTCCATTTTCGGCCAGTTGAAAGTTTCCACTGAATTCTAACTTTCGTTAAGTCATCCCATACCTTAACTGGTTTTCTGTTCTCTCTTTTCAGACATATCTTCAATCATTCATTGGGCTGTGTTCAAAAATTTCAGACTGCCCCATATCAGCCATGTCAGGCCGGCCCCTCACAAAACGGGACCTGTGCGATTTCGCGCCATTTTTCAAACAGGGAATCTTTGAACAAACAAAGAATTACACTGGGTAGTCTAACGGGTGGCGAAAGAAGACAGTGGGCTCGTGGTGTGTGGTAGAGAGTATTGCCTGGTGATATGACGTAGCTTACTTCATGATCACATCATGTTCGTGGTTTATCCACCGGCCGATACTTGTCGAAATATTCCCGGATCAGTCACGAGAATTTGCCGAAAGTAACATGTCGTTGGGCATACATAACGCGTCTCTATGAAGGGCGGTAAAACCAAATACAAAGTAATGGAAAGAGCCAATCAGAGCTAAGAACATTTCACAAGGAGCCAATAAGAAGCCGGGTGGTGGTAACATCGTGTGAATTGTATGGCGGACAGTAAGGAGAATTGCTGATGAGATCTTGGGAGTTAAAGGATTAAGTGGTTAACGAGTTAAAAGAGGCCTTTAGAATTCTAAGAATATTATATGAGTTAGTTTTGAGATAACTTCCATATTTTCTTAGGTATTGATATTTTCCTGATATGTATTGTCAAAAGACGATCAATAATTTGACTCCACTGTAAAATTAATGTTTCATTTTTTGGTATTTTGGGGGCGGGGGAGTGTGGAATAATTTTTGGAATCCAATGAATTTCTTTAAAATTTTGTTTTGTAGTATGAAGATTTGGACAATTTTGTAAACTTTTCCGTTTATCCTTTTTTTCAAAAATTATAGAAAAAACTACTTTTAAACAGTCACACAATTTGAGTGCCAGTATATTTGTCCTAGACATTGCCAGAGTTCCATTTATCGAATGGCTATCGCAGTTTCGAGTCTGAACATATTAACCAAAGCCGTGAGGAAAGTTGCCGTAAATAATCATCCCTTTTACAAGTGATTATTGCGTTATTAATAACAGAGGAATTGTTTTCTTTTTGGAAATAATAATTGTATTTATGTGAACAGCAAACCTCTGACATCGCTTATTTAAAATAATTATTGGCTTTTGTTAGTCAAACGATAAAAGATTGTGATAAAAAA